TGTTGAAAAAAATGTATTTGCAGTGAATAAGTCATTGGTCTTGCAAAATTCTATCTCTGAGGTAATTTCTATCACCAAAGCCATATTTTCCAACTACCAATGATTGTTCTTTGTTTCCAGCTTTCTCATTCTAATCACTAATAATCATCAATACATCTTGATTGCATGTTTGGCCAGTTTCAGACTACAAAAGTTGGTAAAAACCTTTAATTTCTTCATCTTTGGCTTTAGTACTTTGTGCGTGAATTTGAATAATAGTAGTATCCCGCCACTGACAGCACTGTATTTCAGGATAGATCTTGAAGCATTCTTTGTAGTGATGAATGCCACACCATTCCTCTTCAATTTGTCATTTCTGGAATAGCAGATCATATGATTGTATGATTCCAAATGGGTAAAACCAGTCCATTTCACCTCACTAATGCCTGGTATGGGAGCTCTGGTAGCATAGTGCCTAAGGCACTTGACTGCTAACCAGAAGGCTGGTGGTTCAAACCCACCAGCCACTCCTCGGAAGGAAGGTTGGGCAATCCTACTTCCGTAGTGATACTGCCTTGGAAACCCAAGGAGGGGTTGCTATGAGTTGGGGCCGACTCGACGGCAAATAACAACAACAACAACAATGCCTGGTATATCGATCTTTATGTGTTCCATTTCACTTTTGGCAACTTCCAGTTTTCCTACATTCATATTTCTTACATTCCACATTCCTATTATTAATGGATGTTTGCAAGTGTTTCTTCCCATTTTGAGTCATGTTCCTTGTGATAGTTGGAGCTGTGTGTCAACTTGGCTGGACCACAATTTTGTGTGGTTTGAGCTGTTGTGGTGTGGTTGTTCCCATGATAGGATCAGATGACTATGTTCTGAGTGGCCAGTCTGTTGAAAGGGAGTTTCCCTAGGGGTGTGGCCTGCTTCCAGTATATCCAAGGACATCCTGGGAAGAGAGACATCTTTCTGTGGATCAGGATTCTGTTGTGCTGCCTACAACTGTCCATGAGTGAACAGTCCACCATTCGGCCTGGAGATCTTGGATTTGTCATTCATTGGAGTCAACAGTAGGTGTACTGCCTTCCAGCCTTGAGCTCCTCAGCCCCTGCAGTTGCAAGAGCCAGGAAAAGCCTCCAGCTTGACACTTGATCCAGGAACTTTGGACTTGCCAACTTCTATAAATGTGTGAGCCATTTTCCTAAGATAAATTTCTTTCTCTATATACATATATATATATAAGCTTTACTGGTTTTTGTTTCTCTAGAGAACCCAATCTAACACAACCCCTCAGCGAATGGAGCTCTCAAAAGCTTTACTCCATCCATGTCATTTAGGTCAACTCTATTTTGAGGAGTCAGCTCTTCCACAGTCATTTGAGTGCCTTCCTGTCTGAATGGCTTATCTTCTGGTACTATATCAGACAATGTTTGAGGGCTATTTATAAAGTTTTTCTGTAATATTTCAGACAGTATTTCACTGCTATTCATAAGGTTTTCACTGGCCAATTCTTGCATACCTGGTATGAATCCCACTTGGTCATGATATATCATTTTTCTGATACGTTGTTGAATTCTGTTGGTTAGGATTTGATTGAGAATTTTTATGTTTATGTTCATGAGAGATATTGGTCTATAATTTTCTTTTTTAGTAGTATCTTTACCTGGATTTGGGACCAGGGTTATGTTTGATGCATAGAATGAGTTTGGATATATTCCATCGTTTTCTATGTTCTGGGATAGTTTGAGTAAAATTGATGTCAGGTCTTCTTTGAATGTCTGGTAGAATTCACCAGTGTAGTCATTTGGGCCAGGACTTTTTTTTATTGGGAGTTATTTTTAATGGCCTCTTGAATTTCTTCTTTTGTGATAGGTCTTCTCAAATTATCTACCTAAGATTGTATTAGTTTGGGTAGGTAGTATGTTTTTAGAAACTTACCCATTTCTTTCAGGTTTTCAAGTTGGTATACATTTTCATACTTCTACTCATTGTCTTTGGGATATATCTTTGAAGTATTAGTGTTGGACAGTAAGGGGTACAGATATACAAAAAAATATAATCCTAAGTAAGTAGTTGTGTTTTGAAGTTGTTTATATGAGTGTGGCATCGGCCCTGACTCATAGCAACCCCTCCTTGGGTTTCCGAGGCCGTATCACTACAGAAGTAGGATTGCCCAACCTTCCTTCCTTCATATATATATATATATATATATATTTATATATATATAAAATCAGGTTGATAATACAAGTTCATATTGGTGGGGCAGTTGGTGGAGGAACTTAAAGAATAAGAGGGAAATGCCAATAGCAAAAATATTATATGATCACAGTCTCCAGGACAGCTGGTCAAAAATATTGGAGTGGGGTAGAAGCAGTTAAGTGATCAAAGCAATCCCTCAAAGGCTAGTGAGCATAAAGTGCTATTTACATAGCATTTACATTGTATTACAAAAAAAAAAAACAAAAAACAAAAAACTCAAACTCTAGGTGTTATAAATAATCTACAGATAATTTAAAATATATGGGAGGATGTGCATTGGTTATATGCAAATGCTATGCCATTTAATATAAGGGACTTGAGAGCTCTGGTGGCATAGTGCCTAAAGCATTTGACTGCTATCTAGAAGTTTGGTGGTTCAAACCCATCAGCCACTCCTCAGAAGGAAGACTGGGCAATCCATTTCCATAGAGATACCACCTCAGAAACGCAAAGAGGGGTCAAGGTCGCTATGAGTCAGAAACAACTCTACAGCAGTGAGTTTTTTTTTTTTTTTTAAGCATCTGTGGCTATTGGTATCTGCACGGGGTCCTGGAACCAATTCCCCATGGATAGTGTGGGAGGCATGCATATTTATTTAAAATTTATATGTGGCATATTCTTAAAAAAATATGGTATGGTTACTAATCAAAATGGTGGTTATCTGAAGATAATCGGATTCAGGTAATTTTTTATGTTCTTTATGTAGTTTTAAAAATAAGATATATTTAATTTTTTTCTTTTTTTAGTAAAGGAAAAAAACAACAACTATTTCATGGGGAAAGAGCTCTATACTGATCCTTCTATACTGAGAAGCAGTATACCTTGGTTCTTAAAAGTAGGTGGGGCTATGGAACCAACTCATCTGAATTACCTACTGTGCCAACCTGGAGAAGTTACTTAACCTCTTTGGCCTTAGTCTCCTCTTCTGTAAAATGGAAACAATAATAACAGTATCTGCCTTATAGGTTTGTGAGGATTAAATGTGTTAGTGTATGTAAAGTGCTTAGAACAATGTCTAGCACGTAATGAGGATTAAATAATTATTAGAAGTTATTATAAATACTCATTCTTATAGTACTATATTAGATATAAGGAGCCCTGGTGGCAGAATGGTTAATAAGCACTTGGCTGCTACTCGAAAGGTGGGTGTTTTAAACCTACCAGTGGCTCCATGGAAGAAAAGACCTATCTATCTGCTCCTATAAAGATTATAGCCTAGGAAACACTATGGAGAAGTTCTGCTTTGTCACATGGGGGTCACTATGAGTTGGAATTGACTCAACAGCACACAACATCAACGTGCTAGATACATTGCAAAAGGTACCACACTTAACAAACACCTTGTATTGTAGCAAGATGTCTTAGTGTGCTGATGCAGGCATAACATAAAATACTACAAGTGGGTAGCCTTAAAAAACAGAAATGTATTTTCTCAGAGTTCAAGAGGCTAGAAATCCAAATTCAGAGTGTGGCTTTTCTTTGTGTGTTTCAGCTTCTAAACTGAAAAACCAAACTCACTGCCATCAAGTCGATTCTGACTCATAGTGACCCTCACTGGGTTTCCAGGGCTGTAAATCTTAACAGAAGCAGACTGCCCCATCTTTCTTCTGCAGAGCATCTGGTGGGTTAAAAGCAGGTAGGGCTCAGGCATTTAGCAGCCAAATGCCTTAACCACTATACCAACAAGAGCTCCTTGTTTCAGCTTCTGTAGTTAGAAGTTCTTAGAGTTTTGGGGTTTATAGATGGATCTGCCCAATCATCATTAGATAGCGTGTGTCTTCCACCTGTATGTGCCTGCTTCTTTGTCTAATGTGCTCTTTTATAACTCAGAAGTGATTAAATTTAGGACATATCCTACACCAATATGTACCTATTAACATAACAAGAAAACACTAGTCTCAAAACAGATCACATCCACAGGTATAGGGACTAGGATTCCAACACGTATTTTGGTTGGACACACTTCAGTCCATAGCACTGGTTACAAGTGCATTTTACGGAAAAGGAAAATGAGACCCTAGAAGAGCTAAGTAACTTGCTCAAAGTCATCCAGCATATGATTTGAGCTCCTGTCTTTCTGACAATGGAGTCCACAGTATTTCATGTGCTATTTTCCACATATCCCACTCTACTCTTTCATTTAAAATGAAGGTATCTTCAAAGGAGCTTCATATATATAAAAGAAAGTATCATTTACTCTTTGCAGCTACGGAGCCCTGCTGGTACAATGACTATGCTCTTGGCTGCTAATTGAAAGGCTGGTGGTTTGAACCCAGCCAGCCACTACTGGGAGGGGAGATCTGGTGATATGCTTATGTAAAGATTACAGCCTAGGAAACCCTATGGGGCAATTCTAATCTGTCACATGGGATCACTATTGTGTGACTAGATGGTACACAATAACAACAACAAAAACTCTTAGCAGCTAGGGCTTTAAACTGTGTCTGAGGTACTGGTTACACTAATGTAGAAATCTGTAACTCCCTATAGGTTTTCAGCTTCTAAATTAAACTTGATTGAAAGCTCTGAGAGCTTCTGAGAGGCTGTATAGATGTGAATGTGGTAAATGTTTTATTTAAATACATATATATATATTTTTTTTTTTCTGTTATTATAGCATGATATTTACCTTTGAGCCCTATTTCTGTATAATTATAATAAATGGACTTCTTTCTGAAATGTTATTTGGTGAAAGATGAAAATTAACAATTATAGTACATTCATTTTAAAGCTTTTTTATCCTTTACTTTTAGGTTATCTTCATTGTAATGAATTAGATAGTCTGAGATCAAGGTGGCTTAGGCAGACACTGCAATCTTTCATCCCACAACCTTTGGTGAATGTAATTAAAGTGTCTGAATTGGATGGCAGACAAATAGGAAATGCCCTGCCTGAAACATTTGACAAGGTACTTTTATTACATTGTGACAAAGTGATGGACTTCAAATAATACCACTGTTGTTATGCTGCTTTGTTGTTTTCCATCAGCTCCCAGATATAGTTTCTTAGTACCCTGGGAAATTTTGATAAAGTGAACACGGAAGCAGTTTTCATTTGATGGTCAGCATCGTTCAAAGGAAGCAGTAACATTGTGATTGGGGATTATAGAATGTTTATATTTCTAGGTACCCCAAAGATACTTAGGAAAAGATCAGGTATTATGTGGCTCAGTACACAAATATGTAGACTATATAGCTTTTACTCAGTAATATTTCATATTAGAGCATGACATTTGAAGGTAAAGAGGGCATTTCATGAAACCAAAATAGAAATGCCAAAACCAAATAGTCCTTAAAAATAAATGCTGAGACTTCAGAAATATGGTAGGGTCTACTTAAAACAAGAAAGTTTTATAGAAGATTTGCTATAATAGTCAAGAACATCAAATATTATTAGTAGACCTTTAAACAGCCCCTCCCTAAAAAAAAAAGTACTGAAAGTACACAAGAAATTTTTCTGAACAATATTAGCAAGGAAAAGTCATGAAGAACTTACCATGGTGCAGTTTTGGTTTCAAAAAAAATACCTTTATTTATATGCTATTTATTTTTATGTTTTATATAGCTTTCCTATATAGTTTTGGCCTAACAATATCTTTTTGGTGTATAATTACATTACTTTTCCTTTTTTCTCTAGGTATTAGTTGATGCTCCATGCTCAAATGATCGCAGTTGGTTGTTCTCTTCTGATTCTCAGAAGGCAGCCTGTAGGATAAGCCAAAGGAGGAAATTGCCTGTTCTACAGATAGAACTGTTAAGGTGAGAACTGAGAACTGGCAATACAAAAGTTTGTTTTAGTCTCTGGGTGTTCAAGCAGTTAAGTGCTGTACTACTTGTGGAAAGGTTGGTAGTTTGAACCCTTCCAGAGACACCTCAGAAGACAAGTCTGTCAATCGGCTTCTGAAAGATAACAGCCTTAAAAACCCTATGGAACAGTTCCGTTCTGCATGTGTGGGGTTGCCAAGAGTTAAAATAGACTAGCTAGCAAGTAACAACTGCTGATTTAAATAGGAATGACAAAACATGGCAAAGAGGGATCCTCAAATTAAAGCCTTCTTTGGGTGTCAAAGATTATTTATTCCTACAAAAGATAGCCCCATCCTCTTTCCTTTCAGCTCTCATATTGTAATGTGTCCCTCTTGTGAATGAAATATGTTACTTTACATTGTCTTTTTTTTAAATGCATTTTATTGAAATATAATTTATGTACAGTGAAATACACAAAACTAAAGTGGCATGGGTCATTGCATTTTTTTTTTTTGACAGTGTTCCCTCTCTGCCACTCCCACCCCTGGTAACCAGCAAAGAAAGTTTCCTTCCATATGTAAACCTTTCCTTGACTTTTTACGATAATGAACTAATGCTATATTTGTCCTGTGATTGACTTATGTCACTCAGCATAATGTTTTCCAAGTTCATCCATGTTACGTGGTGTTTTGCAGATTCTACATTATACTTTAGTATTGCATAGTATTCCATTGTGTGTATATACCATAGTTTGGTTGTCCATTCTTCTGTTGATGGGCTTGTAGATTGTTTCCATCTTTTTGCTATTGTAAATAGTGCAGCAATGAACATGGGTGTGCATATATCTGTTCTTATTCTGGCTCTCACTTCTTTAGGATATATTCCTGGTAATGGGATTGCTGGGTCCAATGGTATTTCTAATTCTAGCTTTTTAAGGGATTGCAATACTGTTTTCCACAGTGGTTGTATCATTTGACTGTCCCACCACCAATGTATGAGAATCCCAATCTCGCCAGCATTTGTTATTTTCTGTCTTGTTGAACTTAGCCATTAGTGCTGGTGTGAGATGGTATTTCACTGTTGTTTTGAATTGCATCTCTCTGATGGCTAATGATCATGAGCATTTCTTCATGTATTTTCTGGCCACCTGAATATCCTCTTTGGTGAAGTGTCTAGTCACATTTTCTGCCCACCTTTTAATTGGATTGTTAATCTTTTTGTCGTTGAAGTGTTGGAGTTTTCTATAAATTTTAGAGATAAGTCCTTTGTGAGATATGTAATTATCAACAAGTATAAATTTCTTATGTGCTTTTCTGTGGAGTTCCTGATTTCTTTGTTCCATATAATTTTCTGTGCTGAACTCGTTTTGTTTATGAATCATGTTATCACTTCCTTTGTTGCTGTTGTTTTAGTGTTTGCTAAATAATTGTACTGGTCCTTTTTTTCATTTTGATATGAAGGTTTATCATTCTTCTTTGAGGTTACCCTGTGATTTATAATTTTCTTCCCAAGTTTAGAACAGTCCTTTATATCTTGCAGTTGTCTTGACTTCCCTACCATTTAGAAGTTTTGTAACTACATAATTTTTCCCCTCTTTTTTGTTTTTAGTTGTCTTCATTTGTCCATTGATGTCTCTGGTTCCCTGTTTACAGTCTTGTAGGCTTATTTACTTTGGATACTTCCATAACTGGGTTGGTTTCTGGGTTATGTCATCAAGTGTGCTAATGGTCAGTTGTTTGCTGTTGTTGGTTCTCTGTCCAAAGGACTCCCTTTAGTGTCTCTTATAAGGCTGGTCTCTTGTGAGGTTTGTTAAAACCTAACAAATTCCCTTAATTTCTGCTTATCTGGGTGTGTCCTAATTTTACCATCATATTTGAGGGACAGTTTTGCTGGGTATATAATTCTTAGTTGGAAATTTTTCTCTTTCAGGGTTATATATACTGTCCCATTGTCTTCTTGCCTGCATGGTTTCTGCCAAGAAATCCAAGTTTAGTCTTATTGGTTGCCCCTTGTAGGTAACTTTTCATTATTACCATGCTGCTTTCAGGATTCTTACTTTGTCTTTGATTTTGGTGAGTTTAATGATGATATGTCTGGGTGATTTTCTTTTGGGATCTATCCTGTTTGGGGATCATTGGACTTCTTGAATGGATATATTCTCATCTTTCATGATACCAGGAAAATTCTCTTTCAACAAATCTTCAACAATTTTCTCAGTGGTTTTATTTTTCTCTTCCTGTCCTGGAATTCTGATTACACGTAGGCTATTCTAACCCCAGGGTTACAGGTGAGAAGAGACAACTCAGGGACGCCCAAAGTAGCAGGCGGGAAGAGCAGGAGAAAGGGGATTAAAAGCCAGGAATCCAGAAAGAACAGCAAACAGCCGAAGGGATTAGGTGAGGAGAGGAAACTCAGGCCCGCCCAAAGCAGCATTATGGAGAGCAGGAGAAAGGGGATAAAAGCCAGGAACCCGGAAAGAAGAGCAGTCAGCCCCAGGGATACAGGTGAAGAGAGACAAGTCAGGGACGCCCATAGCAGCAGGCCGGAAGAGCAGGAGAAAGGGGATTAAAAGCCA